GGATTCTGTGTCTCCCTCTCTCTTTGACCCTCCCCTGCTAATGCTGTGTTTCTCTCTTTCAGAAATAAATAAAACATAAAAAACAATTTTAACTTAATAGACCTAAAATTGCAATTAGTTCTTTAACTCTTCTTTCCCCTTTTTTTCCCTCAGTGAGATTACCTATGGCAAGTTCATCAAATTGCATTTTTAAAACCTATCAATCTTCATTTTTGCCGTATCTTCTTTTTTTCTTCTTGTTTTCTTTTAAAATCTTAGAATCTCTGAAAGCTACATTCCTATTCTTTTGAATATGGTGGCTATTAGCCACATGTGGCTTTTTCAGTTATAATTAATTATTCAGAATGGGCAAAAAATTTGAACAGCACTTCTCCACAGAAGATATGGGGCTGGTCAGTAAGCACAGGAAGAGATGTGCAACATCATTAGCCATTAAGGAAATGTAAGTTAAAACCACAGTGAGATAACATTACACACCTATTAAAATGGCTACAGTAGAAAATACAGCGTCAAATGCTGCAGTGGATGGGGAACCAACCATAGTTCTCACACTGGTGGGAATGTAAAATGGTGCATACACTTCTGTAAATAGTTTGGCAGTTTCTTATAAAGATATATTTAACATACAGCCTGACAGGTCAGACTTGTATTTATGCTAGAGAAATGGAACTATTTTCCTACAAAAACTTTGCATGAGTATTCACAGCAGCTGTTTAGTAATAGCCAAAAACAGAGACATCATAAATATCCTTAAATGACTGAATGGGTAAACTGAGGTATATCCATACAGTTGAATACAACTCAGCAATAAAAGGAATGAAATGTTGATACTTACGGTAAAGTGAAGGAATGATTTTGCAAAATTATTCTAAGTGAGAGAAGCAAATGTCAAAAGTTTATATATTTTATGATTCCACACATAAAACATTTTTGAAATGACAAAATTATAATGATAGAAAATTGATCTGTGAGTGTCAGTTAGGATTAGGGTGACTGGAGAAGTTTTTAGTGTATCCTGATTGTGGTGGTAATAACTATAGAGGGAAGGGAGGAGGGAAAGAGTGAGTGCAAGTAAAACTGGTGAAATCTGAATAAGGTCTGTAGTTCAGTTAGTAGTACCAATGTCAATTTCGTGGTTTTGATCACTGTACTATGGAGACGTGGGATGTTATCTTTGGAGGAAACTGTGGGAAGAATCCCTAGGACCTTGCTATACTATTTTTTCAACTTCTATGTGAGACTAAAATAATTCCAAATTATTATTTTATATTTTATTATATTATAATATATTATATAAATATTATATTTATATTTTATTATAAACGAAAAAAATTCCAAAAGTAAAAATTTTTTAATAAAATTAAAATCTAGCTCTTTAGTTACACTAGCCACATTTAAAGTACCCAGTAACCCCATGTGGCTAGTGGAAGCCACATCAGAACAAATATAGAATATTTCCATCAACACAGAATGTTTTATTGGGCACCGCTGGTCTAAAAGCACATGTCTGTCTTAGGCCAGTGTTCTCTCTTCCTTAACTATTTTATATTCTTATACCACAAGAATACTTGTGTTTTCTGTCTTGTTACCTTATCAGCTGGTTGTTTTGGTTATAGCCAAGCTTAGAGAAATACTTCTTTAATTTCTCAAATTTCAGAAAAATAGTCTTGATATTAATTTAGGAATTTATCATGTTTTCATAGGTATTTGAATATTTAAATTTTCTAACACTCCTGTATTTTGCCTCTGTACCAGTTTTACCACCTATATTATTAACTGTATTAAGATATAGTCCTAATATCTCTTATGTAGTTATCCAAATATACTTTCTTAGTAATATTCTTTGTTTTTCTTTCCTTTTATCCTTATCATTACCCAAAAGCTCTTTAAAAATTTTGGATTTCTAAAAGATGCATAGGTTTTCATATTTGGTGTTATTACTTCCCTGTCTTTTGTGCATCCCAAGGAAAGGTAATTCCTTCTATTGCTATGTTCTAGTATTTTGTCCCCAAACACCTCTTGGCTTCTTTGCATTTTCAGTTAAGAATTACTGCCTACATCCTTTATTGTGGAACTTCTTTCTCCTTCAGCTTCATCCTTCACAAGATCTAGTTTTATAGTTTTATATGAGCCACTATTTCAGATTGGAAGGCAAGAAGTAGAAGAAAACGTAGTGGCTCAAGATATTCACATAGCAACAAAGTTAAGACACTGAAGGATAAGAATGGGATGGGGGTGGGGGATGACCCACTTGAGGAAATCCACAAAGACAGAAATAAAGGAATATTAGAATTAAGATTTCTATCTTCCTGGGTAGGGTAGAAAATCTGAGTATTATAGTGATGTCAGTGTTTCTTCAAAATAATTCATAAGTTTTATTGCAATTGTAATCAAATTCCAATAACCTCTTTCTTGAAATTGACAACTCAAAAATCCATCTGGAAGACCATCAAAGAACATTTGGAGTATAAAAAAGAAAGTGGGGCACCTAGGTGGCTCAGTTGGTTAAACATCTAACTCTTGATTTCGACTCAAGTCATGAGTTTGAGCTCTGCATCAGTTTCCATGCTGACAGTGTGGAGCCTACTTGGGATTCCCTCTCTCTTCCCTCTCTAAAATAAATAAACTTAAAAAAATCATAATTAGGGATATGGGAAGCAAAACCAGATAATCAAACTTAATAAAACAACAGTAATTACAATAGTGTAGGACTGGCATAAAAACAATCATTGTTTCCAGAGAGCCAGGAAATGTACTCTAGCATAAGAATTCAACAAAATAAAGGTTTCTTCATAAATTAATTGTATGTGTATTCACTAAGTCTCTAATACCTAAATGAGCAAAGGATATCAAAAGACAGTTGACCAAAGAAGAAATAAATAACCAACACAGAATTTTCTAGGATTGAAGAAACAAAAATGAAAATAATGTTCTGTTTCTCATTAAGTGGGTACAGGTTTTCATTGTTAAAATACCACTGCCATTGATGGTGTAGTGAAAGTGATGCTGTCCTTCATTTCCATCATCATCTCCTTCCTATCATTGCTTTCCTGTATTTTTCTTGGTTTAGTAATACCATACATCCATCTTTCACAGGTCCTACTGGCTATACTTTTGTTATATATATGGCATCTAAACTTCTCCACTATTACTGTCCTGCTCCAAGCCCTTAAGCCCTCTTTCCCAGTTTATTGCAGTTTGTTTCTCTACTTTTTATCTTGGTCCTTCACAGTTTCTTCTGAATACAGCAGCCAAAATTACAATTTAAAATGTAAGTCTGATCCTGTAATTCCTCTGCTCAGTAGCCATCAGTTGTTACCCAGCTCACTCAGGATAAAGCCAAATTCATCATAAGAGTCTACAGATCCTGCATGATTTAGACTCCCACCTTTCCTTTCTGACCTTACCTTCCACACTACCCCACTTGCTTTCTCTGTCCAAGTCACTTTAGCCTCCTTGTCATTCTGTTAGTAAATCAAGCATACTCCCACCTCAGGGCCTTTGCACCTATAGTTACTCTGTCTGAGATGATTTAGCCCAAAATACCTCCTCCACATGTTCCTTCTCTTCTTTCAGGTCTTGGTTCAGATGTCAGTGAGGTCTTCCCTGACTGCCCATTATAACATAACCCTTCTCATTCTTTCTGAACCCTTGCCCTGCTTCATTTCTCTCCAAAGCACATGTCACCATGTTTAAGTTATAGGTTTACATACATGTGGTCTGTCTTTTCCCCATAGATTATCAACTCCATAAGAAAAGAGACTTTATTCACTGCTGTATCCCTAGCACTTAACAAGTACCTGGCACATAGTAGGCAGTCAGTATGTATGTATGTATGTATTTTTATGTTGTTTATTTTTGAGAGAGAGCACAAGCAGGAGAGGGGCAGGGAGAGAGGGAGACAGAGAATCTGAAGCAGGCTCCATGCTGTCAGCAGAGAGCCTGACATGGGTTTCGAATTCACCAACCATGAGATTGTGACCTGAGCTGAAGTCAGCCACTCAAGCCACTGAGCCACCCAGGCACCCCAGGCACTCAGTATTTATTGAGTGAATAGATTGAATCTTTTTAGAAAGCAACCACAGCATGGTTTAAAAGCCTTTTTATTTTATGTTTTTAAAGTAAGGATGATTCAATTCTGTCCACTTGGTAATAAGAGATGTGCATGTGGCAGGATCTGAGAGGATAGGATCAAGAGCAGTAATGGATGTTGTTTCTCTCTTAGATGGTAAGAAAAGAGAAGATGATGAGTGAATAATTTCCAAGTATAGAGGAAGTTATAGAATCAAGGACAAGCACTATGTGTTGGCAATCTTTGAGAAGATTAGGTTGATGGAAGCAAAAGACTGTTTAGGGGAAGTAGCAGAAAATAAAGTTATAGGTAGATGGGAACAGATGTTGAAAGTCTTTTCATTTTTAAAAAATTTTTTTAGTGTTTATTTACTTCCAAAGGAGAGAGAGAGCATGAGTTGGGGGAAGAGCAAAGAGAGGGAGATACAGAATCCAAAGCAGGCTCCAGGCTCTGAGCTGTCAGCACAGAGCCCAGTGTGGGGCTCAACCTCACAAACTGTGAGATCATGACTTCAGCTGAAGTGGGATGCTTAACCAACTGAGCCACCCAGACGCCCCTGAAAGTCTTTAAAATAAGTCAAAGGAAGTAGGATGCATGATGCATGATGGAGGTCAGGAGTTTGAATTCTTGAACGAAGAGGGATTTAAAAAAAAAAGCTTCTGAATCTAAGCTTGTTGGTGTCTTACAAGGTGGCAAGGAGGGTAAGGTAAGAAATATCAACTGGAAGGTAGCTGTAATAAGGCACAGTTGAGGTAGTAATACTCTCAGTAGTAAGGAATATAGGGGGTGATGAAATAAAGATCAAAGGAAAGCAATGATGTGGCAAAGAATAAGGTTTGGTGATTACATATGAGATGCAAAAGAGGAAATAAAAGAATCTCTCAGTATTAATAAACTACATTTTAAATTTTTTTTTCTTTTTTTATAGGTTTCTGTCATTCACAAAAAAAAATGGATCATTTAAATCTTTGGAGGACTTAGTTGTCACAGTACTTCTATACTTCCAACTAAGATTTATGACAGTAAATTTCTGCATCATAGAACTGCTGAAGAACTAAAGGATGATTTTATAAACCTACAGTATCATGATATTACTAAATAAAACTGAAGAGCACAATTATTAAATTATTAGACTTGCTAATACAAGCACACATGTGCAGTAGCTACTGTATCCTGACAGTTACCAAACCTCAAATTTAGATGTTTTTAATTTGTAGGAAAGGTCATTATATTTGCAAGAAACCACTGAACATTGTCATCAAGTATATTTTCAGCTGAGTGTAAGTTAGGAGAAATTACTTGAAACAAGTTCTAGAAAATTCCAACTCCCGTCACTGAGTGTATTCGATATTATGGCAGCAACTTACAGACTTGTGGTCAGTACTGTGAACCACTACAGCAGTGTGGTGATAGACCGACGCTTTGAGCAAGCTATACATTATTGCACTGGAACCTGCCACACCTTTACACATGGAGTTGACTGCATTGTAGTACATCATAGTGTTTGTGCAGACCTCTTGCACATCCCTGTGTCTCAGTTCAAAGATGCGGATCTGAACTCTATGTTTCTACCCCATGAAAATGGGTTTTCCCCAGCTGAGGGTGACTACCACCATCAGGCCCTAACAGGCATACCCAGGGGCAAGAAAGGATCTACGTTTCAGAACACCTGTAACTTAAAAGACATTGCAGGAGAAGCAATCAGTTTTGCCAGCGGGAAAATAAAAGAATTTTCCTTCGAAAAGCTCAAAAACTCTAACCATGCAGCTTACAAAAAGGGAAGAAAAGTTAAGTCTGACTCATTTAATAGGAGGTCAGTTGATTTTGACTTGCTCTGTGGCCATTATAACAATGATGGGAACTCCCCATCCTTTGGTTTACTACGGAGTTCCTCAGTTGAGGAAAAATCTTTGTCCCATAGAAACTCGCTTGATGCAAACCTGACGTCAATGTTTCTTCACAACTTCTCTGAAGAAGACCTGGTTACTCAGATTTTGGAAAAACATAAAATAGATAATTTTTCTTCTGGAACAGACATAAAGATGTGCTTGGATATCTTGCTGAAATGCTCTGAGGATTTGAAAAAATGCACAGATATCATAAAACAATGCATAAAGAAAAAGTCAGGGAGTAGCATCAATGAAGGAAATGGCAATGATGCAATTTCTAGCTCTGAAACTGTCTATATGAATGTAATGACCAGGTTAGCATCCTATCTGAAAAAGCTACCATTTGAATTCATGCAGCCTGGTAATAATGATGCTATAGATTTAACAGAACTGGTCAGTAATATGCCCAGTTTACAACTGACTCCCTTTTCCCCAGTATTTGGCACTGAACAGCCCCCTAAATATGAAGATGTTGTCCAGCTCTCAGCCCCTGACTCTGGACAGTTTCACACTATAGAACTGCAAGATGACAAACACAGTTCTAGGAAAACAGACGCTGTAAATTCCATTCCAAACAACTCTACAGATTATTTATATAACTCTGAAATAAATGATCCCAGAACCCTAAAAGATACCCAGCTTCAATCACAGTCGTTAAGCATGAACCCTTTAGAAAATATTTCTTCTAATGACCTAATGGAAACCCTTTATATTGAAGAAGAGTCTGATGGAAAGAAAGCATCAGATAAAGGACAAAGGGCAGAGAATGGACCTGGTCAGTTGTTAAATGAAGATAGAGCAGAATTTTCAGACCACGTTACTCATCTTAAAAAAAGTCCTGCCTCTGTGCAAAATGAAAATGGTAAGATATTTGAGAAACTAGTTGTTAACCTACCTGAGGAAGATTTTAAATCAAAAGTTCCTAAAGTTGAAGACGGAGGCCACAGAGATTATATGAATCCTAACAGCCAGGAGGAGATAGATAAATTGTTAATGGATTTGGAATCATTTTCACAGAAAATGGAGACGTCTCTGAGAGAGCCACTTGCCAAAGGTAAAAGCTCTAACTCTCTAAGTAATCCTAGTCCATTTACTGGTCAGCTTCCTATAGATGTTGAACCGAAATCTAAAGTCTCTTCACCCACTGAAAAAGTCTCACCTTCCTGTCTAACAAGGATTATTGAAACCAATGGACACAAAATAGAGGAGGAAGATCGAGTCCTCTTACTACGAATTCTAGAAAGCATTGAAGACTTTGCCCAAGAACTAGTTGAATGCAAATCGGGCAGAGGCAGTCTATCACAAGAAAAGGAAATGATGCAGATTCTACAGGAAACCTTGACCACTTCCTCCCAGGCCAATTTATCAGTCTGTAGAAGTCCTGTTGGTGATAAAGCCAAAGACAGTACTTCAGTGGTTTTGATTCAGCAGACCCCAGAGGTAATCAAGGTAAGAGCCAACAGTCTTGAATCCTGACAAGTATCTAAAGAAATGTTTTAATGTGTGCAGAGCTTATAAATAAATAGTCTTTGTGTTAGCCATTTCATAGTCTACTAAAGTTCCTGCCGTACACAAGGCATAGTCTCACTCAGTTCAGTTACAAAAAGAACTAAAAAGCAAGAGTTTTAGAGTTAGGCAGACATTTCAACTGCCCTCCTCCTTTCATTTTATCCCTAGTTCTGTGACCAAAGGAAAAGTTACTTAGCCTTAATATCCTCATCTGTATAATGGAAATAATAAGGATCAAGATAACTTATGTGATTTGTAGCAACATGGATGGAACTTGAGGGTGTTATGCTGAGCGAAATAAGTCAGGCAGAGAAGGACAGATACCATATGTTTGCACTTATAGGATGATTAGGAGGAACTTAACGGAGGACTATGGGGGAAAAGAGGGTGAAAAATAGTGGGGGAGAGGGAGGGAGGCAAACCATGAGAGACTCTTTTTTTTTTTTTTTTTTTTTATTTTTTTTTTCCTAGGAGAGAGAGAGAGAGACAGCGTGAGCAGGGGAGGGTCAGAGAGAGAGGGAGTCACAGTCTGAAACAGGCTCCTGGCTCTGAGCTGGCAGTCAGCACAGAGCCCGACGCGGGGCTCGAACCCACGAACCGCGAGATCATGACCCAAGCGAAAGTCGGACGCTTAGCCGACTAAGCCACCCAGGCGCCCCATAACCATGAGAGACTCTTGAATGCCGAGAACAAACTGAAGGCGGTTAGGGGTAGAGGAGAGGGGAAGGGGGCTGATGGGCATGGAAGAGGGCATTTCTTGGGATGAGCACTGGGTGTTATATGGAAACCAACTTGACAATAAACTATTTAAGGAAAAAAAAGATATGTGAAATACAAGGAAGGTGCCTTACACAAATTAGACATTTAATAGTAATACTTGTACTTCCCAGTCAGCCATGCATTAATACATGTATGTGTAGGCTATAAAGTGCAGTATGAGGTACAAAAAAAGAGAGGACATGATTTCTTAAAGATCTTAACATCTAGTTGAGAAAATGAAACTAACCTACTGGAAACAGTTTATGAACATGTAGGCCCTTCTCTGAAAGTGTTGTTAGTGAAATAGGGTCTTCAAAGAAGGTAAAGACTACATTGTATTTTTAGTGAAATAAAGTCTTCAAAGAAGGTAAAGACTAGAGTGTATGAGATTTGCTTCTTCATGCAAGTGGGAATAAATACCAATCTAGAGTCACAAGATAGTAGTGTTTCCAAAAGGCATCGAACCTACCCTGCTACTGGTAGTATAGCTTTAATAATCCCTGAAAGGCAGTTACCTTCCCACTTGTGTGTATGTGTGTATGTCTTAGCACAACAGTTATTTCTTGTTCATTTTCTATGTCTAACATGGGTTGGCAGTAGGCTCTGATTCAGCTCACTCAGGGATCCAGTGTGATAAATGCTCTGTGTTCTTATAGCTGCTGCATTGCCCCATCTGGAATATGTGACTTATAAGTTCACTGAGGACAGGGAAGAAAGAGATACTACACTTCCCATCCACTCATAGTCCAGTGATTCCGGCCCAAAAGCTAAGAAACATAGGGAAGCACATAGAATATACCTAGTAAGCACTGTCTCTACCACATGAATGTACCGTGTATGTCAACATGTATGAATTCAAAAGGCCAAATTAAAAAATAAGTTGTGAAATAATGTGAATTATTTAGAGATTATGTACATTGTACAAAAATTATGAGGAAATACATAGATACACCAAATACAGTGTTCAGAACAATGATTAATTCCTGGGGAGAAAAGAGAGGTGGAATTGAGGAAAGATGTCCAGGGGATCTCAGTAGTGTTAGCAGTTAGTAATTTCATAATCTGCTGGTGGGTCATAAATACTTTTTAATATTATTTTTATGCCTCTTTGTATGTCTTTAATATAGTAAATTTAAAAATATATAGTTGGATATTAGAGATGACATATATATGGCCAAGTTAAAAAGTTAATGTTAATTTTAATGTTTTCATTAATACTTTCATTTAAGTAGGAAAAGAAATATTGTAATCAGATGAATAATTTTTACATTGTATTTTTTTTGTGGCTGTGTTGTGCACATTGGTAGTTATCAGTGACACTAAAATTTAAAACTATACATACTTAAAGTTAAGAAATGATGATTGGGGTCTAAATATTCTCAAACATTCACGAACCATTTCTGTGAAATCTGTGTGTTTCCTCATTTGTTGATTCACAGTTGGTAATATCTTTAATGAACTTGGTCTATGCTAGGAGTAGAACCTGGAAATTAGTTACAAAAGTAAGAAAAAAATGCTTTCAGTGCACACAGGCAATAGTGATGTGCTTAATATTTTATAAAGAAAATACCTATATAAGGCAATCTCAAAATGGTAAAAACATAAGAGCTAACAGTTCTTGTGAGCTAACGCATGCTAAGACAGTTAGATATATTATCTCACTCTTCCCCCCTCAGTAACCTGTCTACTCGTTTTAAAAAAAAAAATAATGTTCACCTTTCCACTGACCTATTCCATCATCTCACAACCATTATAACCAGAAACTTACTGTAATACAGTGTTTTGAATTTTATTTAACCCTCCTCCCCCATTATCTTCTGTAAGAAAAGGAGAAAATATTATCCAAAAAGAAAGTAGAAAATGTGAACCTGAGGCCAAGAATAAGTCCCATGCAACACCTGTCCTATGTTCCTGGCTTATGGCCCACAAGCAGGCCCCCTCTGACCCTTCCAGTCTAAGCACACCTAACTAAGAATCCCACCCTGGGCTCTAAATGAGCTTTCCAACTTTTGAACAAGTATGGGCTGAGATCAAATCTTATTAAAAGACTCTCACATCACTCTTTTAAATAAGTCCCATTGACATAAGATAGAATTAAATTTGATGAAATTTCCTCTTGATAAAAGTTGAAAAGTTAATTCATGAAAAGCTAATTTAAAGAGAAAGGTAGTATAAAATGTTTAACTCCTGAAGATACTTAATGCAAGAAAATAAAACCGTTTTTCCTTGACTCAGTTGCCTTCCAACTTGTTCTCTTTTTTTAAATCTTTCTTTGCTTCTTATTAACAATAATAATAATAATTTGCACATACCAGTTATGAGCTTTCTGTAATGGGGCATATAGGAGGTACATTGGTGACTATCCCTGGTGACTAGTATTTTAATTATAATAACTATTATTATAATTACTGTTGTTATTACTTGAAAGAGGGAAAGAGAGAAAGAATCCTAAGCAGGCTCCATGCTCAGCACAGAGCCTGACACAGGGCTTAAACACAGGACCATGGGATAATGATCACAGCTGAAATCAAGAGTCGGATGCTTAACCAACTGAGCCACCCAGGTGCCCCTATAGGAATTATTTTAAACTAGGGGTTGGTAAATGTTTCCTATAATGGGTCATGTGTAACTACATAAGGCTTTGCAGGTCACAAGGTTTCTCTCACTTAGGTGTCTTTGTTGTTGTTGTTGTTTTAAACGACCCTTTAAATGTAAAACTGTTCTTATTCCTAAGGTTTAAAAGACAGGCACTGGGCCAGATTTGGCCCACAGGAGTATATGTTGTCAATGCCTATTTTAAACAAATAGAAAAGAATAGTGAATGATAGAAAAAACACTCCTTATTATCTACCACTTACCTTGTCAAATCCTAACATTTTATCATATTTGCTTCAGATCTTTGTTTATGAGTATTTTTATTATCATCATCATTGTTTTAAAAAAAATTCATCTCCGATATAGTTGAAATCCTAGGGGTCCCCTCCCTAGTTTCCACTTCCCTTTCCAGAAATAACTACTACCCTAAAGTTGGTGTTTATCTCATGTAAGTTTTTATACAGTGTTATTTGTCATGTTTTTTATTCTTGAAGAGCATGAACAAACAGTAGTAGGAAATAAAAGAAAGAGGTAGGTTGGTGCCAGCTTATGAATGCTATGCTAAACCCTAAGAGTGGCAAGCTAAAGAAGGCTTTTGTTTTTAATGTTTGTTTGTTTTGAGAGAGAGTACAAACAAGGGGGGGGGGGCAAGAGGGAGAGAGAATCCCAAGCAGGCTCCCTGCTGACAGTGCAGTGGATATTTAGACATGGATCTCAATCTCACAAACCACGAGATCATGACCTGGGCAAAAAATCAAGAGTTAGTTGCTTAACCATTTGAGCCACCTGGCACACCAAGAAGGCTTTTAAGTATAGGAGTCCCACAGTACTTTTTTTAAGAATAAAATATATTTTTTAAGAATAATAAATAAATTAGGCTCTTATTTTTTTTTTAACCTTTTGGACATTCAAAAATTTACCACATGTATAAAACATTTCAGTTAAAAGCTTTATGTAATGGGGCATATAGGTTGGTGACTATCCCTGAGAAGATTTGACTTGATATTGTATGTCATTAGTATTTTAAAATGTGTTTGAAAGTAATTTTTCAAGAGTGAGTAGTATTTGTTGTCCAGATATTTTTTGTACAGAAATCTAATTCAGACCTGTATTGGGAGGGATAATCAAATAGAAAATACTAATATGATATTGAAAGATTGATAAAGAGGTATCTAGATACTGGTCTAGATCAGGAGTCAACAACCTGTGGCCTATCTTTGTAAATAGTTTTATTGGAACACAGCCACACCCATTTGTTTACAGAGATCTGACTGCTTTTCTCCTCCACCTACTAAGCTGAGTAGTTAGAGACCTTAAAGCCTGAAATGTCTACTATATGGCCATTCATAGAAAAAGTTTGCTGACTCCTCTTCTAGATATTATTTGTGATAGATCAGCAAAAGATTTCTTTTTTGGTGAATTGGAATATGTATTTTAACAAGATCCCTACATATTCACATTTAATATGTACATGAAAATTTGAGAAATACTATTTCTACCATATCAGATCATTCTTAATGAGGTTCAGTGTGATATTTTGTTAAAGGCATTGGAAATCTTGAAAACATCATTAAATATCAGTAGCA